GACAAGTTTTGATGTATTTGTTTGTCAAGTTGTCCAAAAAAAAAAAAAAAACAATGTCATCTTTGCATTTAAAATGACAAATAAAAAACTGGGCAAATGACACTTAATGACAGCGTAGGAACAAAGGAATTTATTTTTATTACTTTTATTATTTATTTTATTTTTTATAGAAAAATGGTTAGACTAACAACATATTAATCAATCTTTTTCTGTTGTATAATAGCACATTTGACCAGACACACTTCCTCTTTTTTACTGTGCTGCATACTTTTTAGAAAAACTGCTGACTAGTGGAAAACGCAGAATAAGAATGAATTTAGATTTGTTTCAGACTGCTGTCTGGACATGTCACAAGTTGTCATGATCTTTGTAGAAGTTGTGAAATATATTAAAGATGCACGTAATTGTTCAGTTCTGGTATGCAGAGAAGGGTTGCAGAAAGAGGAAGTATGTCTAGGGGTTACAAAGAGCCAAGAGACTGCAGAATGACTGATGAGTGACGTTAAACCAAAACTCCACCTGTTAAGATCAGTTGTGTATATATGCTGGAGTCAGGAAATGTAAGTTAGTTATGAACCTCCTGAATGTAATTCTTGTATTGCATTGGGGTAACGTAACCCAAAGCTCTGTCATCGAATTATTCATTTGTATCTAATAAATAACTAATATTTTTGGCATTGAAGAAAACACTCTTCAGACCTTTTCTCATTGAACACGCATGGAATTGGCTTGATATTCCAACAACAGCTGTCATACGCATGCATAAAAGCTCATTCACATTCATGTTATGTGTCATGTCATGATTATGAAGGTGTAAGAATTCTCTTCTATCATAAAAATAATGAGCTAACAATCCCCAAAATGCACAGGCTTATTAACAGCAGCCTAAATCTGTCATAATCTCGTGACGGCTTTATCATTTGAGACTAAATCAGATACTTTATGACTAAATTTGATCAAAATCATTATGATAATCATTTGAACTCCGACTGAGGTGATCGATGATCCCCAGAACTTTCTCCACAACAGTGTGTAATGTGTGATGTCAGAGTCTGCACTGGTCTCCATGAAGGCTTATTGGTGTTTGTTGACAGTGGAGCTCTGCATGTTTTCTCACAGCCTCCGTCATACTCTGCTTTATGGCTTATTATCTCACAAGCACAAAGTCAACAGATGGAGCTTTAGGCGCTCTTTGGACTAAACTGGATTCAGGATTCTGAAATTAGCTCAACGGCGTAATTCAAACACACATTGTGATGACTGATGTGTTGCAGTGGCATGGTATATGCAATCGAAGATTAAACTGAGGTGAGTTAAAGCCTTTATGTAAAGGTCATTTTTTGCAATACTTGAATAAATAGACTTATTGAGGGAGAGTACAAAACATAACATCCACCTTTATTGATAAATGCTTTGGCATTTTCAGATTTGAAAATAAATGAAATTGATGACTGTTTATTAGGACGATTAGTTCAACACATTTCTGAACATAATAGTTTTAATAATTAATTTCTAATAACTGATTACTTTTGTATTTGCCATGATGACAGCACAGGACTTTTTACTTGTTCTTTTTGCAGTACTAGTATTGACATTAAAGTACAATTTAAAAGCTTAACTAGGTGAATTAGGCAAATCTGGTTTATTGGGAAAGTCATTGGTCAACAGGGGTTTATTCTATTAAAAAAAAAAACCTTAAAAGGGTTCATCATTTTTACATGAGCAGTTTTAAAATAATTTTAAACTAAAAGAAAACAAAGAGAATGCAAAGCAAACATAATCCTTGCTCTATTTAACATCATTTGGGACATTCTTGGAAAATGATTGAAAATACAAAAGGACTAATAATTTAGTTAATTTCATTCATTCATTTTCTTGTAGGCTTAGTCCCTTTGTTAATCCGGGGTTGCCACAGCAGAATGAACCGTGTGTGTATATATATATATGTGTGTGTGTGTGTGTATTCCTCAAAAGCACGAAAGTCTGTCATGTAAAAAAATCACTGTGTCATTGTTTTAACTGCTTTTGTTCTAAGAAAATTCATGGCTTCCGGTTTAAAACCTGTTTTGTCCGGTTTACCTAAAAGTAAACAACACTCCTCATTGGAAAAACGAAAAGAAACCATTTTGTTCAAGCAGTATTTTACACAGCTAATTCAGCTTCACTGACTTCACTTGAGCCCGTGTCGTTGTAAAACCCAGAATTATTATTATTATTATTTTTTTATCCGTTTCATATAATTACTGTATTTTACGGTGTATGTGTTTCAATTTATATGTAGTGTATTGTAAAATTATAACAGTATATTAACTACTGGGTAATATTAATTAATTACATCTACTTATGTTTTTGTTGAAAGTTAGTTGCATGTTTTGTTATGCAAAATTAATTATAATTAGTTGGTATGGAACATTACAAGGACACCTTAAAATAAAGTGCTAGATAGATAGATAGATAGATAGATAGATAGATAGATAGATAGATAGATAGGTAGATAGGTAGATAGATAGATAGATAGATAGATAGATAGATAGATAGATAGATAGATAGATAGATAGATAGATAGATAGATAGATAGATAGATAGTTGAAGTCAGAATTATTAGCCCCTTTTTGAATGTTATTTTCTTTTTTAAATATTTCCCAAACGATGTTTTACAGAGCAAAGAAATTTTCACAGTATGTCTGATAATATTTTTTCTTCTGGAGAAAGTCTTATTTGTTTTATTTCGGCTAAAATAAAAGCAGTTTTTACTTTTTTTTTAAAAACCCATTTTAGGGACAATATTATTAGCCCCTTTGAGCTAAATATTTTTTTGATAGTCTACAGAACAAACCATCATTATACAATAACTTGCCTAATTACCCTAACCTGCCTAGTTACCCTAATTAACCTAGTTAAGCCTTTAAATGTCGCTTTAAGCTGTATAGAAGTGTCTTGAAGAATATCTAGTCTAATATTATTTACTGTCATCATGACAAAGATAAAATAAATCAGTTGTTAGAGTTTATTAGGATTAGTTATTAAAATTATTATGATTAGAAATGTGTTGAAGAAATCTACTCTCTGTTAAACAGAAATTGGGGAAAACATTAAACAGGGGGGGGCAATAATTTAGAGGGGCTAATAAATCTGTATACAGTTAAAGTCAGAATTATTAGCCCTCCTGTAAAGTTTAAATTCTTTACATTTTTCCCCAATTTCTGTTTAATGGAAAGAAGTTTTTTTAAAAACATTTCTAAACATAATAGTTTTCTTTAACCTTTGCCATGATGACATGATTCATTTATTCATTTTCTTTTTCCTATCTTTTTAGTAAAGCATACACTCAGTGCATCACATGATACATGAATGTGCTCCATGCAGGTTTCTGCATCTCGTTTATATACACTATGAACAGCAGCTACGCTAATTATTCTTTTTATTCTCTATTTCCACCTGGGGATAATCATCCTGAGGCCCTCAGACTATGCAGCGCCACTGATTCGATCCAAGAACAGCGACAAGATGATCCCAAGGTTTACATATCCTGGACCAGGCCGTATCCTGAGCAGCTGCTGTTGTGGTCATGGAGGAGTGGAGAGCATAAGACTACAAACGAGGACAAATGAGTCTTCACTGAGGTCCAGCTTCCAGCCTCCGGCACTTAGACTGCAGCTCTGCACAAGACATTTGGCCAGAGGAGAAATGGTTGTACCCAATGAGTCTGGTTTCTCTCGAGGTTTTTTAATTATTCACTTTCGCCTATTGGTGATGTTTTTTCCTCGCCGCTGTTGCCGCTGGCTTGCATGGTTCGGGATCTGTAGAGCTGTGCATCGATGGATTTGCTCTTCAGTGTTTGGACTTTCAGTGCTGATTGTTAATCACACTGAACTGAGCTAAACTGAGCTGAACTTAAACTCTGAATACTGAACTGACACTGTTTAATTCACTATGATCTATGTGAAGCTGCTATGATACAATCTACATTGTAAAAGCGCCATAGAAATAAAGGTGCATTGAACTGAGCATTCCACAGTAGATTTTATTTTACTAAATACTTATTAATTTACTACTATTCAGCCTAAAGTGCAATTTAAAGGCTTATTTAGGTTAATAAGTTGGGTATTTAGGTAGGTCATGAAATAACAGTGGTTTGTTCTGTAGCATACTGAAAAACAATTATGCTTAAGGGAATAATAATATTGACCTTAAAATGGTTTTAAAAACTGCTTTCATTTCAGTCATTAAAAATAGCTGAACTAATCTGAAAATGTCCTTACTCCATTAAATATCACTGAAGAAATATTCGAAAAAAGTATTTGCCCTCAACTTACTATGTAGCTTATATTTTGTGCTATTTTGATTTCACAAGTCAAAGGTATAGAAATGAAATATTTTTAGTGTATTAATCCTAAATTGGCTGATAAATACTGGCAGCTGATTTATCAGTGCATCCCTACTTAAATGTGCAACTTGTATTGCCGTTTTAGCATGCATTCATGAAAGCTCACATTTATATGCATTTTTTAACCTAAAACCATTATGATTTTAAATAGTCAGTCACAGTCAAAATAGTCTAAAACAGAAAGCAATCTGCATATATTTATTGAAACAAAGCAGTGGTGCAGTAGGTAGTGCTGTCGCCTCAGCAAGAAGGTCGCTGGTTCGAGCCTCGGCTAAGTTGGTGTTTCTGTGTGGAGTTTGCATGTTCTCCTTGGTTCGCGTGGGTTTCCTCCGGGTGCTCCGGTTTCCCCCACAGTCCAAAGACAGGTGAATTGGGTAGGCTAAATTGTCCGTAATGTATGAGTGTGTGTGTGGATGTTTGCCAGAGATGGGTTGCGGCTGGAAGGGCATCCGCTGCGTAAAAACTTGCTGGATAAGTTGGCGGTTCATTCCGCTGTGGTGACCCCGGATTAATAAAGGGACTAAGCCGACAAGAAAATGAATGAATGAACATCAGGGTATGCACATACATAAATACAGTGAGCCTAAATCCTGGGAAATTCACTACACCAACATTTCATATGATATGTTCTTTATTTTGGATAAATACAGTTAAATATAGTAAATGCAGCATTTTTATACAGCTTTTATTCATGTACACAAGTATGAGTAAAGTATAATTTACAGGTAAACTAAGATTTAAAAATAACATTTAATTCCAGCTGAATCAAAAGTCTCTGTTATGCTTTGTTTCCATCAGTGATGGTGCTGGATCCTGAAACCTGTGAGTCTCAGACCGATGCGCTGTGTTTCTGATAGGAGAAAGATGTTGTGATGGACTGCTTAAAATCTGCATATGAACACACATAATACACAGCACTTATAACACATTTCAACATCCAAAAACAATTACAGAGAGAAACGATTTTATTTATCACATGCTATTTTGAGAAAATAAAGCCTAATTATAGATTATGTAAGAAATGCATCAATTCAGTGCCACTGAAAACTGACATGCAGTATTTTTTCAAGCTGTTTTATTGACTTCATGTACTGTACTTCATGAGTCTGAGCAATTGCATGAGATGTAATACATTTCAGTAGCTTATGTTACAGTTGAAGACAAACCTATAAACTATAAGACTAAAGCTACTATTAACTTGCACTTACCACAGCTTGGAACACATATATTAGAGTTGTGTCTCAAACGTGTGGTGCCTCTTGGACAATAACATCCTTCCCACAGCATTGATTCTGAATTACTGAATGCATTATTGCCATGCAAATGTTTCTGATTAAATCTGAAATGACACAAAAGGAGAAAAAAACAGGAAAAGTCATGATTAATCATTCCCCTTCCATTTCCCTTTTCTTCATTTAACATTTTACCCTTGTCTGGTCTTAGAATTCTGTATATTCTGTTTGTACAAAGGGTTTAAAATTATCTGCCGTCACTAAACCTCCAAGATAAAGCTCCAGAAATTAATTTATGTTCTCAAATCTATTTTGCATGAGGAAACATTTTTGGAGTGTGCATGTGTGGTGTGTGTAATGTGCAAAAATAGTTTTATAAATGGTGGGTCAAAAGTGACCCCTAGGACAACTGTTGTGCCCTATACAGTATGTTTATTTATTAAATTATGAAAATAGACAATTGTAATTTGTTCTAATTTTGGGGGCTATTTTAGAATTTAAGACTAATAAGTCAACAGGAGAGTTGTCGAAACATTCCATGAAACAGAACATTAATTTCTGAGTGAACTAACCCTTTAAGCCTTGTTTTTTTACATACCTTTCATCACAGGTTGGTTCCACTTGAGGGCCACATGCTAAATATGTCTGTGGGCTTTTACACTTAAAATCTAAATGAAAGAAAAATGGTTAGGTCTTTGTAGAAACAATAATAAATGCTTGTCTGCAACAATTATGTTAAGCGATTGGTCACAATTTACAAAAAGGCTGCAATATTAATGTTAGTAAATGTATTTATTACCATGAACAAACAATGAATACTACATTTAATACAGCATTTATTCATCTTAATGAAACATGATAACGTCATTCATTGATAGTCTTTGTAAACTCACAGTGCATTAATTAATGTTACCAAGCACAACATCAGATTTTAATAATGCATTAGCAAATGCAGAAATATGATTAATAAATGCTGTATTTAAGAGTTTGCCCTTAGCTGATGATTGATTATAAAGCGTGTTTGGCATGCTGTCACGGGAGAAAGCCCTGAGCTCATGAGATCCACGAGCCCGGGGCTCCCTCCTGTTGCAGGGCGAGAGGGGAGTTAGAGCATAGGTAGGTCTCGAGAACTCGCCTGCTTGATAACGGTGAATGTAAATTATGAATAACTATGCAGAGAATTCACTGAATTAATCGATCGTCTATGGTTTCGGTTTGGTCAATTTACTTATGTCACATGTTTTTGATCTCCGGGAGGAAACCGGAGAGGCCGGGGAAAATCCACGCAAACACAGGAAGAACATGCAAGCTTCCCACAGAAATGCCGACTTGGCCAGTTGAAGATCTGAGCCAGTGACATTCTTGCTGTGAGGCAACGGTGCTAACCATTGGGCCTCTGTGCTGTCCTGTCAAAGAAAGAGGAGGAGTAGGGGTGGAAGGGGGATTCTTCAAGACGAAGATGGTTAAGGTAAGATACTCTGGTTATTTATAGTGATTTCAAGAGTTCACACTTAGCTGATGATTGATAATAAAGCTTGCTTGGCGTGCTGTCCTGGGAGAGAGCCCTGAGCTTATAAGATTCTCGAGCCCTGGGCTCCCTCCTGTTCCAAGGCGAGAGGGGAGTTTGAGCTCAGGTAGATCTCAATGACTCCCCCTCTTGCTTATTGTAGCTAAATGTCGGATATGGATGCTGAGGTGTATTCAGAGTTTGGCTAAAATATTTTGGATTAATTGTTTAGAGTGCTTGTTTTTGAACTGTGGGAGGAAACCGGAGGACCCGGGGAAAACCCACGCGAGCAAGGGGAGAATGAGCAAAACTCTGCACAGAAATGTCGCCTGGTTTGGAAGGGAATTAAACCAGGGGCATTCTTGCTGTGAGGCAACAGCGCTAATCACTGGCCATCATGTCGCCCGTTTGAAAGGAGGGAAAGTAGAGTTGGGTGGGGGGGTTTCTTCAAGACAAAGATATTGAGATGAGAAAACTCTGGTGATTTATAGTGAGTTAAAGATAGTCTGAAAGGATAACTCATTAGCTAAAGTTGGAACAGCTGTGAACAATCAATAGCACGTGATCCTCTCGAAAGTAGTTCATAAATAAACTTCACTAAGTACTGTTCATGATTAGTTCATGTTAGTAAAAACCTTAACTAATGGAGACTTATTGTAAAAGGCAACTAAGATAATAAACATACTCACCACAAACTCCATTTGTCGCATCTCTCCAGTCTACACAAACTCCTGCCATTGCGCATTCGTGAGCATAGGCCTGTAGACTGGCACAGCCAATGGTTGCATTGCTCTTGTTACACACATCAAATGTACATGCTGACACATATGGTTCAACTGGGACAAACCTGTGACATTTCTCAAAGATCCTGTGGATTTAATCAAACGGATCTCAAATTGATTTGAAACCAAAGAAATTCACTAGGCATGCAAGTATTCACAATCTAGAATCTAATCACACATGCTACTATTGTCATATTTGAAGAATAGTTAAACAGCATGTTTACTTGTGTTCAATGATTTTGCACATTGCAGAAGACGGGCATGATGACACTGTGGTGGACTCTGGTCTCGATGGCAGAAAGTTTTTGCTGTTGTTGCTATCATGCACATGCCAATATGAAGCCATGTCTTGGCAAGATGATATAATGGTGCCATTTGGCAGACGACAATCATTTGTTTGGTCATTATCACACACGCCTACATGGAGAGAATCAGATTAAAATAAACAGAAAAATCTGAGCGAGTTTGATGAGATAAGACAGAAGAATATCAAGTAACTAAATATCTGCAACTAAATGAAGGATGATTGTGAACCTACCACAGAGTCCTTCTGTGTTACCATGAAACTTTTGCCATGGGAGGTGGATGGAAAACATTGTGCCAGTAAAAGAGATCTGTGCATCAATCTCAGATAAGACCACAATAGACTCGATGCCAGTCTCTGTGGCATGGACATCTTCATATTGAAACGGTAACCTGACTTTCTTGTTGTTCACAGAAATCTAGAAAAGAAAATCAAAAAATACTTATTTTTGTCCCCGAAGAATTATATTTTACTGCACCTTACTATGTGCTTCTCAGAAAAGGTCAGTCAATGAACACTGAAAATGACTGAATATATCTCATCATTAATACTTAATGCACAACAAAGAATTCAAACTTTTTATTTAAACTTTAGACTTTAAACTTTATTTAGACTTTTATTCTGAAATGTAAAATTTAAGGATTTTTTTGGTTCTGCTTTATATAAAGTGGTCTTAAATACTAGGTACAGGTAAGGTCAAGGACAGGTTTGTGTATGTGTAAGTTAATGGGTCTCATCCTCAATTCCTGGAGGGCCGCAGCTCCGCAGAGTTTAGCCCCAATGCTAATTAAATACAGCTGATCAAAATAATCAAGGCGTTTAAGACTACTAGAGACTATTAAGCAAGTGTGAGTTGGAAGTGGGTCAAGCTAAAATGTGCAGAGCGGCAGCCCACTAGGAATTAAGGGCCTACTCACACTATGCCATCCGTACTGTGCCCAGGCCCGTTTCCTGGATCGTTTGAGAAGTGTGAGTGCACTGAATCGGGCTCAAGCACGGTTCACTTGGCCGGCCCTAGCCCGGTTGGAGGAGGTGGGCCTGAGCGCGGTTCACTTGGGCTTTGGTACACGCAGTACGTTTGTAGTGTGAGTGCAAAACGCGCCAAAGCCTGAAACCGAAAGCGAGACGTGACTTTTAAGGGGCTGTTTCATATGGATTTATTAATCATTCTTACTGTTCAGTGAACGCAAACTGCCGTAGCTTATTAAAGACGCAAACCCCTCACTGCAGGACAGCTGCGCGCCTTCAGCAGACCTCCTCATTCCTGCAGCACGAGGGCTTTATGATTGTTTATGAGCGCCAAAAGGGGCGGATCTGTTCGGCGAAATATCTGACTGTGTGTCACCGCATCCCTAAGGACTGTTTGGCGAAATATTTGACGGCATATCAAACCGACTGCAACGATATAACTAGAGAAATCTCCACTGTGCTGCTGAGTGTGAGAGCGCTTCTCACTGAACAGCGCAGCATCGATGACGTAAGCGTGCCCAGGCCCGATTGTGGTGTGAGTGTGGGCCGTCGGGTGAGACTGGAGGGGGGACAAGCGTGCTTTGGCCCGGTTCGAGGCAACTGTACCTAGTGTGAGTACGACCTAAGTGTGTACGGTAAGTTTAAGGGTAGGTTAAAGTATAAAGAATAGGTCGACACTATAATCATTCATGTAATTACAGAAATTCATTACAAATGTAATTGCATGCAGCTAATTATTAAACTATAAGTACACTGTAAAAGATGCATGTCCAAAATAATTTAATTAATATAAAAATCTATCATTTAAATATGTGTTTGCATAGTAATTAAGGACACTTAATATAAAGTTGGATCATTTTTAAAAAAAACGAGGATTAGGATGAATTACCAAATTCATAACAGCTCCGGCAGAAACTCTCTGAGTCATGAAGATCTTAAAAGATTTATAATGAACCACCAGGGACTTGGGGCAGGAGAGATCATCTTCAATGTCACAGATATTATCAACTACAACACTAAAATTATACTTCGGTTTAATTTCTTGCACAAGCACTCGAGAGGAGTTTCCTTGAAATGGGTAATATATTCCATCGAATGTGATGTAATGCAGGTTACGAAAGCCATTGCAAATACCTGAAACAATACACAAAACCAATTTATCAGTTCAAACAATATTGTGAAACAGTAACTCATAAAATCAGCATGATATCAGATGTTCCATGTTAACTCACATTGGCACTCGTGTTTAAAACAGCATCCTGATTCATCAGAAATGTTCAGCGGTGAAAATTTGTTTTCACACACAGGGTACTGTACTGGATCACAGTCTACCGCTTTATACTGAATATAACCATTATTGCATGTCCCGATTTGGCAATTTCCCACTTTGACAGATTCACCATTCTGGGGGGGAAAGAATGTAAAGCAATAAAATCATCATTGCTATTGTTGTCATCTCTGTTTGTAATATTAAGGACTTTAATATGGCTTTTAAGTAAGCAATTTATCCAAAGAAAGTCACAAAAACATACGATTAAACATGCTCTTACAGTAAGGGGAGGCGTATGTTTCTCACAGTTGCCTGTCAGTGACATAGAGGCTGCTGGAAATACTGTTGTTAAACAGGGTCCTGATATTTTTTTTACATCACACCTCTCTTCAGTTTTGACACATTTTGCAACATAACACCATCCATCACCATCGGTTATATTGTAAATTTCAGATTCTGTGGAATAAGAAACGTGTCATATTGTTTAATTCTGTGTTTAAGCAAAATAATAAGAAATGCATACATACAGCAACATTTTCGGAAAAAACAATACCTGGATTAAATGTATTGCCATAAACTTCACAGACACAGTCATGACGTGCAGTGATGTGACCTCCTGATGAAACTGTGACAGCTGGCAAGCTTGGTGGGGTGACAACTGCACTGTGGGATAAACGCTGAATTCTTGGTGAAATTTTTGATGATTTTCCACACAGTCCTTGACAGCATAACACTTTAATCTCATAATCAAAGCATTGCTGTGTAACAAGTTGGTTCTTGTTTAGACAAACTAGTCCTTCTTGAGAATTGCATGTTACTACCTGGCCTAGCTGTGAGAGTTGTACTCCAGGGTAATGTTTTGCACGGCATTCAGCTTCAGTTGGAGCAGGACAAATATTAGAGTATGTGTTTGTTATATTTGTCATTGGTACAATTTCACCACCTTCGGGTCCGGTTGTTGGGCTGCCAAAGTCCATCCAGTCTGACCATTTGCAAATACAAGAAGAAGGAAATGTTTTTGAAATTGTCGCAGCGATATCTCTTCTGGGAGGTACAGTGGTTGAGCTTATGCTTCTGGAGTAACTGCGTAAAGCCAGAGTTATCGCTGCTGGTAGTGTTGCACTAACACACTCTTCATGACAACACAACAATCTCATCTCATAGTCAAAGCACTGCTGGGTAATACTTTGGTTTCTATTTAAACAAACAAATCCATCTTTAACATTACATGTCACTGTCTGGCCAAGTTGGGAAAGAGGAAGTCCAGGATAAAGTTTTGCACGGCATTCAATTTCTTGTGGTTTTGAGCAGGTTGTTGGATAGGTGTCAGTGATGACTTTGACTGGTATTAGTTTACCACCTTCAGGCCCTGTTGTTGGGCTCCCAAAGTTGACCCAGTTTGACCACTGGCAAATACATTTAGAATTCATTGTTTTTGAGATGGTTGTGTTGACATCTCTTTTTTGGGGTACAGCGGTTGTGCTTACACTTGTGGAGGAACTGCGTGAAGCTAGAGCTATTGCTGCTGGTAGCGTTGCACTAACACATTCTTCATGACAACACAACAATCTGATCTCGTAGTCAAAGCACTGCTGGGTAATATTTTGGTTTTTATTCAAGCAAACAAGGCCATCTTCAAGATTACATTTCACTGTTTGGCCAAGTTGGGAAAGGGCAAGTCCAGGATAAAACTTTGCACGGCATTCGATTTTCTGTGGTTTTGAGCATATGGTTGGATAAATGTCGGTGATCAATTTGACTGTTATTAGTTCACCGCCTTGAGGCCCGGTTGTTGGGCTCCCAAAATTCACCCAGTCTGACCACTGGCAAATACATTTAGAATTTAATGTTTTTGAGATTGTTGTGTTAACATCTCTTCTTGGGGCTAAAGTGGTTGAGCTTACACTTGTCGAGGAGTTGCGCAAAGCTTGAGTTATTGCAGCTGGTAGTGTTGCACTAACACACTCTTCATGACAACACAACAATCTCATCTCATAGTCAAAGCACTGCTGGGTAATACTTTGGTTTTTATTCAAGCAAATAAATCCATCTTTAACATTACATGTCACTGTCTGGCCGAGTTGGGAGAGAGCAAGCCCAGGATAAAGTTTTGCACGACATTCAATTTCTTGTGGTTTTGAGCAGGTTGTTGGATAGGTGTCAGTGATGACTTTGACTGGTATTAGTTTACCACCTTCAGGCCCTGCTGTTGGGCTCCCAAAGTTCACCCAGTCTGACCACTGGCAAATACATTTAGAATTCAATGTTTTTGATATAGTTATATTATTATCTATACTTAGGGGTACAGTGGTTGTGCTTACATTTGAGGAGGAACTGCGTAAAGCTTGAGTTATTGCTGCTGGTAGTGTTGCACTAACACACTCTTCGTGACAACACAACAATCTCATCTCATAGTCAAAGCACTGCTGGGTAATACTTTGGTTTTTATTCAAGCAAAGAAGTCCATCTTCAAGATTACATGTCACTGTCTGGCCAAGCTGGGAGAGAGCAAGTCCGGGATAAAGCTTTGCACGGCATTCAACTTTTTGTGGCTTTGAGCAGGTGGTTGGATAAGTGTCAGTGATGACTTTAATTGATATTAGTTTACCGCCTTTAGGCCCTGTTGTCGGGCTGCCATTGTTCACCCAGTTTGACCACTGGCAAATACAGTGAGATGGAAATGTTTCTGAAATTGTTGCAGCCAAATCTCTTTTCGGGGGTGAAGTAGTTGACCTTACACTTGTTGAGGAACTGTTTAAAACTAGAGATACTGCTGCTGGTAGTGTTGCACTAACACACTCTTCATGACAACACAACAGTCTCATCTCATAGTCAAAGCACTGCTGGGTAATACTTTGGTTTTTATTTAAGCAAACAAGGCCATCTTCAAGATTGCACGTCACTGTCTGGCCAAGCTGGGAAAGAGCAAGTGCAGGATAAAGTTTTGAACGGCATTCAACTTTCTGTGGTTTTGAACAAATGATCGGATAAGCATCAGTGATGGCTTTGATAGGTATAAGTTTTCCACCTTTAGGACCTGTTGTTGAGGTGCCAAAATCCAACCATTTTGACCAATGACAAATGCACAAAGGAATTGCAGTAATTGGAATTGCATTAAATGGCTTGGAAGATATAGAAGCTGCCAAAGGTGCATTTGCAGAAAGTGTGTTTGCTGATGCTGACAACATAGGAGAAGCTGTTGGTGCCTGTGTGGAGTTGTCACATTTTCCATAACAACACAGTACTCTGATGTCATAGTCAAAGCATTGTTGAGTGGTATCCTGTTTTTTGTTCAAGCACAAGAGCCCATCTTTTTCATTACAAATAATAGTTTGCCCAAGTTGTAAAACAGAAAGTTGAGGATAATGTTTTGCACTGCATACCACCTTTCTTGGGGCAGCACAGACTGTAGGATAGGTATCTGTTATTTTTTTGATTGGTACTATTTGACCACCTTCCGGACCTACTGTTGGCCCACCAAAGTCCAAGGCTTCGGACCACTGACATATGCAAGAAGTATTAAGATTTGTTGTCTCAGTAGGTTTAAAAGCTGGAGAATCTTTTGCTTTTGTTGACACTGATGATGATGGAGTAGTTGTTTTTGCCTGTGTGGAGTTGTCACATTTTCCATGACAGCATAATACTCTGATGTCATAGTCAAAGCACTGCTGAGTGATATCTTGGTTTTTGTTCAAGCACAGGAGTCCATCTTTTTCATTACAAATAACAACCTGTCCAAGCTGTAAAACAGAAAGTTGAGGATAAAGTTTCGAACTGCATTTCACTTCCTTTGGGGCAGAACACACTGTAGGATATGTATCTGTTATTTTTTTGATAGGTACTATTTGACCACCATTAGGACCTACTGTTGGCCCATCAAAGTCCAAAGGTTCTGACCAATGACAAACACATGCTGAGGTAGACGTAACTGACTTTGATGTACTAAAAGGTTTAGACTGTTGTTTCAAAGTTATATCTAAAGACACCGGTGTGGTTGCTGATGGTGACTGCATAGCAGAGGTCGTTGCTGCTTGTTCTGAGCTGCTACATTTTCCATGGCAGCATAAAATTCTGATGTCATAGTCAAAGCATTGCTGTGTAATATTTTGTTGTTTGTTTAAACAGATGAGTCCATCCTTTGCATTACATGTCACTATCTGGCCAAGTTGTGAGAGAGAAAGCTCAGGGTAAAGTTTTGCACGGCATTCTAACACCTTTGGTGCTGAGCAGACTAAAGGATAAGCATCAGATATTTTACTGATGGAAATTATTTTACCACCTTCAGGGTCTGTTGTTACACTACCAAAGTCCATCCAACCTGACCAATGACAAATGCATCCAAGAGCAGGTGTAACTGAGGGCAAATTTGGTGTCAGTGTTGTGGTACTGCCACAGTTTCCACTACAGCAGGATACTCTAATCTCATAGTCAAAGCACTGATATGTATTGCCTTGGTATTTGTTCAAGCAAACAAGACCATCCTTGACATTACATTTCACAACCTGGTTAAGCTGGGAAAGACGTAATGTGGGATAATTTTTTGCACGACATTCCACGTCTTTTAGTGCAGTGCAGAAGTTAGGTAAGCTGTAAAGGATGTTTTGAATTGATATAATTTCCCCACCTTCAAGGCCTGTTGTTGGCTGCTTAAAGTCCAGCCAATCTGACCAACGACAAGAGCAAACAGGTTTTGGAGTAATTTTCACTGAATTTGGAGTTCCAGTAGTATTAAACATTCCAGTAAAATTGTAAGAAATATTGAATGTTGTTTTTGATGTTTTAGTCTGTGCTGAAGTCACGTCACTCAGAAATACTGATGAATATCTTCCAGTGGATATTGTTTTTGGAACTGTGGATATAATTTTACCAGTGGAGAAACTCTGTGCTAAGGTTGGAACTTGTTTTGTAAAGCTGCTAACTGAAGACACTGAAGGGGTATTAGAAATATGTGTTGAAGATATTGCTGTACTTGTTAATATGCTTTGGCTAGTGGAGGATGTAATATTCATTGATGTCAAAGTTGATGTTGTAGAAACAGTAGTTGAAAAAGCTGATGAATGAACACCAGTCGAAATGGTCGATGACATTTCCGAGGACACACTTTTAACAGTGGATGAAGGTACTGCAGAAAATCTTGTTGAAGATGTTTCTGTAGTTGTTGATATGCTTTGGCCTGAGGAAGATGTAATACTTGTTGCTGAATAAATACCAGCAGAAATTGTTGTTGACATTCCTAAAGACATGCTTTTGAGAGTGGACGTCTGGGGTGTTGGTGTTTTTGTCTGTGGTGCATTCATGCCAGTCGAAAAAAGTGATGAAGGCATAGTGGCAGAAATTGTTGTTGATGTAGATGTGCTTGTACCAGTTGTAGAAGTCTGGACTCTTGGTGTCGAAACATAAAATGATAGGTTGCTCACTGTTGTACCTGAACCTGTAGTAGAAGACTTTACTGAAGATGTTTCTGTAGATGTTGAAGAGCTTCCACTTGTTAAAGAAATAGGACTTGTGGAGGTAGTAGTCGGCAATGTAGTTGTTGAGCCAGGTGAAAACAGTGGTGGAGATGTATTAGTGGAAACTGTTGTTGTAATTGTTGACATGTTCTTACTAGTGGAAATATTCTGGACTGTTGATGTAACTCCTTGAGTAAATCTGTTTGTTGAAGAAACCGAAGGTACTACAGAAAATCTTGTTGAAGAAGTTGCTGTAGTTTTTGATATGCTTTGGCCTGATGAGGATGTAATACTTGTTGCTGTCATGGTTCTTGGTGTAGGAATGCTAGTTGAAAAAGCTGGAGAATGAATACCATCAGAAGTTGCTGTTGACATTCCTGAAGATACGCTTTTGAGAGTAGATGAAATTTCCAAAGAAGATTTTGAAGTTGGTATTATAGGCATGCTTGTAGCTGTTGTAGCTAAGGATTGTGTTGTCTGGCTTGTAGAATTAGAGGAGTTTTGGAATGTTGGTGTTTTTGTCGGTGGTGTATTCATGCCAGTCGAAAATAATGATGAAGGCATAGTGGTAGAAATTGTTGTTGATGTAGATGTGCTTGTACCAGTAGTAGAAGTCTGGACTCTTGGTGTCGAAACATGCAATGATAGGTTGCTCAATGTTGTACCTGAACCTTTAGTAGAAGACTTTGCTGAAAATGTTTCTGTAGATGTCGAAGAGCTTCCACTTGTTGAAGAAATAAGACTTGTGGATGTGGTTGTCGGTAATTTAGTTGTTGAGCCAGGTGAAAACAATGGTGGAGATGTGTAAGTTGAGACTGTTGTTGTAATTGTTGACATGTTCTTACTAGTCGAGGAATTCTGGACTGTTGATGTAACTACTTGTGTAAATCTGTTTGTTAAAGAAACTATAGGTACT